TTCACAGGGAGCAGTACTTGTGATAATGAAGAGGTGCAGCAATAGTCTGACACACACACACACACACACAAACACACGTACACGTACACGCACATATACACACATTGAGAACTAGTGCATTAAAAACAAAATCAGAAGAGGTGTTGGCATGCCATCGACAGCTTGTGGTAGACTTTTAGAAAATCGATAGTAACGTCCACGAGAAATAAATATCCGGTACAACTTTTACATATCGGAAAGCCGTCGCTTGGAAGTAATTTTATTGCATATCTCTTTGGCTAACTATGCACTACAGTAAACTACACAGGAGAGCCAGCTTGCCTCTTCGAACATCTCGTACTGGAAAGACGGTGAACTAGGAGCGCAAGACGCGAATACTGACTGAATTATAGAGAACAATGCTGGACATACAAAACACAGGGTGCTTGGAATACTGAAAACAAAGGGCTCGACCAGCAAATGTCGCTAAAAGTGAAATCAGCTCACACGTGCGACAGCGCACCTCAGTGAGCTGCACTCGCTGGAAAAGATGATGTGCAAACGCGCTCGAAATGAAAGCGACTGAGAAATGAAGGAAGAAGGCCCCGAAGAGGACCGGATCGCATAGCTTCCGCGTCCCAGTACTTGGCGAGCTGCATTTTGAGGGTGATGATGATGTTGTAGCTGGGCATCACTAAAGCAAATTAAGGTACATTTGATGCGCTCACCGACCGGTCAATTACCATCACCGTCCCGAACATCAGTCGATGGCATTTGGTAATGCAGCTGTTTGTGTTGTTCGTAGCAGTACAAAGGAAGAAGAAAAACCTCGAGTTGAGGAGAGCGAACAGTGCCGGACCAATCATGAACAAAGAAATCATCATCCTCCGAAAAATCGAGATCCATTGATTCTGAAATACCACTGTCATTAACGACAAGTAATGGCTGGCTGGCAATTCTTGGCTCGTTAGCAGATGACAGTGAATGGAAAGGAAGCAGCGTGCTTCCCACGGGAAAAATCTTCGCACGGAATGTCTTTCCCTCTTGGCAAGTTTCGGGACTGTGATGAACATTAATGAGAATGAAGATTAATGGGCAAGTTACCTTCAATTGAAGACATGCTGCTGTGCAATTCTCGAAATGCTGCTTCCTATGATTCACCGTCTGAAGAGAGCAATCTATATACAGTTCAAATTTAGTACAGTGAAACGCTGAAGCACGCCGTATCCTACCACCAGCACCCGGAATGGTAGGCAAACCTCCTACCGTATATGTGCTTCAGATCTGTAACGCTCACATTCGTTTCATAATGTCTATTTAATTCCTCTCCACTCCAGATAATTTGTCCAAGAGCCCAGAACAGGACGGCGAGCACAGAGTCGAAGCTCAGAGGTCGAGGACCGGGTAACTCCCGAAGAAATAGCAAATCGCAGCAAGCCAATGAGAGTATCCAGTCTTGGCGGCCACACTCTCAT